TCAGCTGTTCTTCTTGTTTGATAAAACAGATACTTGGACAACAATAGACTCACTAATGTACCTCCAGATGCTTTTAACGACCTGACTAGCCTCAAGTATCTGTGAGTTTTTACAATCTATATTTTAGTGGCTATGTATTTTTGTTGATACAAATGTATACTTCGTAGTGACAGTACTGATCTGTTGACGCAATATAGGTGTATATAGATAATCCAATATTTTATTTCAGTGAGACAAATGTTACGTGCACGAATGACCAAAAAATGTCCGCTAACAAAGCATATATGAAAAAAGACTCCCGAGTACGATATATGGCACGCAACAAAAATGTAACAACAAGCAGTTACCCATTTCAACTATCATTTAATTAGTTTTACATTGTCTAATTTACTTAGGTTAAAGATTAAGTTAAGCAGTTCATAAAGCAGGCTTACAATCCTTCATGCCGTGTAAGTGATCGTCGTCTTGATCAACTTCCAATTCCAACCTCCGCCGACTGAAGACCACAGCACTTGGCTTTCTTGATTCATGACTTTCTTTCCGTGTACACAAATTCTTCCGGAGGACTCCATAGTAAACTCTGTATACTCTTTCTTCTTCCTCTCTCGACTATCGTCTTTTTCATCTTTTTCTTCTCTCCGGATATCGCAAGGTCAAAAGGTCATAGCCTTGTCACATCATAGCTTCCACAAGTTCAGTCAGCAAGCCACGAGGGTAAGCCCTCAGGCAAATCTCCTTTATACTTCTCACAAGCCAGCTTTTATACATTTACTTTAGTTATCTAGAATGTTCTATTACTATTTATAGCGTATTTCAAGCTGTACTATTTTTGGAAACTTCTGAGTCACATGAAAGAAGTTTCTGGAATATTACAGATTATAGATAATTCTAGAAAAGTCTGGGATTGCGTGACAGATTCAGTAAAAATAGTTCGATCCTCGTAACACAAACTAATTCAGATGCAAACTGATCTCGTCTTTTTCAAAATCCAAACAGGAAACTAGACCGTTTCATCCTTTGTTGCTACGCTAAGAAATCAGTCGAAGGAGTTACCTGTGATTCTCCAGCTGATGAGTTCTCGAGCTGTGACGACCTGATGAAGAACAAAACGCTTCAGATCTGCATTTGGATTCTGGGAATCCTCGCCTTCCTTGGCAACCTTCTGGTTATAATATGGCGGATCATTGATAAAGAAGAGAACAGCGTTCATTCGTTCTTCCTGACAAATCTTGCCGTAGCTGACATGTTTATGGGTGTCTATCTTTTGACAATAGCAATTGTGGACGCGAGATGGCATGGTGAATATTTTAAGCATGACATGAAATGGAGGGCAGGTATAGGCTGTCAAATTATTGGAGTTCTATCCATGCTCTCTAGCGAGGTGTCTGTGCTGATTTTGACAGTCATCACCATCGACAGATTAATCTGTATCGTCTTCCCTTTCAAGTTCATGCGTCTTACTTACAAGTCTGCCGTATCCACCTGCGCAGCAGTGTGGATACTTGGCATAGTCATCTCCGTGATTCCCATCACTGGAATAAAATATTTTTACGATGAAAGTGGTGATTTCGGTTTTTACAGTCGCTCAGCTGTTTGCCTTCCTCTTCAACTATCCGAAGAAACACCTGCCGGCTGGGAATATTCCCTGAGCTTTTTCATCGGCTTAAACTTCGTTTCTTTCACGTTTATCTTGGTGGCGTATGTCTTAATGTTCTGGACGGTTAAGCGTGCTGCCCGCGCTGTTCGGTCGACGAGTATGAACAAAGAATCTGCAATGGCCAAGCGACTTATTTTTATAGTGATGACAGACTTCTGCTGCTGGATGCCTATAATTATTATCAGCATTTTGTCTCTGACAGGAAATTTTTATGATCCGCACAAAATTGCCTTCGTGTGGATCGCAGTGTTTGTTCTTCCGTTAAACTCTTCCCTTAATCCAATCCTGTATACATTTTCTACCGAGAGAACGAAACGAAGTTTATCCAGAAAGAGGAAAAATATCACTGGTATGGTTATGAAGACCTTGAATAGTCGCGCTGGAGGTGGATCGAAAAATAGTAAGATTTACTGCTGCAATAAATGTTTCATATATTTTCTATGGACTTCGAAGGTGGTGATATCTTTGAAAAAATTGTAATTTCCTTATTGTATCTTAAATGTTTTTCAAATCTAGCACTTTCAGTGGATTACACGATTTCAAAGTTATCACAAGTTGCATACTTGCAATCCGTCTTGCACTCCTTCCTGTGAAGATCGATTCTGTTATGCAGGTGTATTATTGCTCAATCAAATATTTTCTAGGAGGTTGCATAGTGTTGTCGTGTTATCTTTCCATTTCTATTTCTAGATCAATCTACTATGGACTACTTGAGAACGTATGCTGAAAACACTTTGGTCTCCACTGCCGATTCCAGTCCCCAGCCGGTTATAAGAGTTGTGGAAAAACGGAAACAAAAAAGTAAACAAGTGAACACTAAATTAAAGCTGATCGAAGTAGTGGATATCTTTAAAGATGACACTGCAGGGAAGCGTTCAACTGTAAGTGCCTTTCTTGGGATACAACAGTAAACTTTTGGATAAAGATAACTATTAAAGTAAAGTAAGGTAGGTTTCAAGCGTACACGTATCGTTGTCATCACAGACCAACCTTGTAATAAAATCGATATTTCCGTAGGTACTTTTATCAAATGTCTTTCTATGCAAATACCAAACGATATCACGAGCGAAGAAATTCTGTTACTTCCTCTTTCCGCTGTCTCCTTGTGATGTAGGGTTACGTCACCGCTTGGTGCGAGGAAGAAGGAGTACTTGGCATGGTATTACTGAAGTACTTCGGAAAGGAAATGAAGGAAGACTGGACTCGAGAGATCGATTTAGTACAAGACCTATCTAGTAACGAAGATCCGCATGACAATCTTCTTCATTATCGCTGGCACTCTAAAGGCAAGTAGCCATCTTTATTATAAAGAAATACATCCCTCATTTCATAGATTTAGCAAAAAGCGAAAAACGAAAATCCACGGGAAATCGAAGATGCTCTGAAAAGCAATAGCATCTTTTTTAAATAGTAATACAATTCCCTTCATGAATGGAGGAGGCCTAGTTGATGGGTTCTTGAATTGAAATTGAAGAATTGGACCTGATGTTTTGCAATACAGGTGGCTAGGTCATGTGTCAGATAGGTGGAAGTAGAAGGAAATACCTAGTTTTGTTTCAGGTAACAGCGGGCTGCTAAACTTACAGGTTGTGTCTGCATTATACCACTGTTGTTGTTGACTTTCAGCGTCTGAACAGAGCATTGAATATGGAAATAAGAAGATCCATGAGATACAAGGAAGTAGTTGGTAAGTTATATCTGGCCAAACCATGAAACTCATGCAATATGTAGCTTTGTTGATAAATTGAACTAAGAACAACGACATGGCTATAGAAAACCTTGAATTATTTCAACTTAGTTTAATTCGGACTTAAGAAATTTGAAGTCCATTGCTTTATCCATGACACTTTCTTACCGTATCTGCTCTTATTGACAATGCGAGTGTAGATTATATTTATTACTCAATGTTTACTCTTACGCTCATCTCATAACTGGTGGTAATTGATCCCTTCTGAATTTGTTAAGGCTCATTTGTTACGATTTTGAGTCGAGCTCCACTTTGGAAGATTTTCTTTCGGAGAAAGGAATTGTTATCGACTTCGACCCAGTATGCGCTGTAGCTTGTGACGTCATCAGCGCCATAGAACGTCTGCTGGATTATGAGATGGCTCATAACAACATCACAACTGGCAACATTTTGATCAGCCAATGTTCAAGAGTAAGTGATTTACTAATTCTTAGAGTCTAAAAAACGTTCGCAGACTTTTGGTAGCATCATTTAGTCGTTAATGGCCGTTCAATTGTTCATGTCTCGCCTACAGTCTCTCAATAACTGATAGATGCGTTGTGGTGTCAATTCTAGTCTAATGGGTAATAACAGATGAAAGGTAGAAGGACGTTTTAAATCGTGTCTCTTTTTGAGTTAGAAAAATTTTTCGCAATGATTTCCACTTGAGAAGGTTTAAAAATCGTTTCTAAAGACCTCTTTCAATAGTGCCGGTACCCATTTGATAATTATCTGAAATTAGTCCTCTTGACTTGGCTAACAAAGTTAACAACAATATAGTTTCAGCCTAGAGCGTGGCCAAGAAGGCTTTTAAGCGTGCAAATAAAAAAAAAATTAAGAACTAATCCTCCCATTATGAATGAAGTCCACGAAGCAAATTTTAGAGAATCGACTCGTTTTCCAGGTACCTCCGATCAAAGCCGTTTTGGGTGGATTCTCTCAAGCGTCTACCGTGAATGGTGCAGGTGCGTTCATAAACTCGGCTGTCGACGATCAGAGTTGCCATGGCCAAGACATTGAGCAGTTTGGACATTTGCTTGCTACCTTATTAGGACACTGCCATGGCTCCAGTGAATACGTTAAGGTAAATACGGTCTAGAAACAGGGCGGTTGATTTGCAAATGGTGATCCCTGTTAAAGTATTCGGTCACGACTAAGCGTTGCTTGAAGATAGTTTACCGTCTTTTAGTTGGTTTTCTTAGCTTTAGTGGACACGATTGAAAGCTGGTATCTTTTTTTTTTCATCTATTTGTAATACTTTATCAATTAATTACGGTGCAGCAAGAGTACGACGAAAAACAGCCCCAACTAGTGCTCAAGACCAGTCTAGTGTATTTCGTCGAGTTATCATACCTCGTAAAGGCCGTTGTTATTTTAAGTTTCGGCACTAGCCTCATAGTAAAAGTGGAACTCTTCTCTCTATCTATGAAAAAGTGACACTGCTTCATACAAAGCTGTGAATAAGCATAGAGTTCTCTTGTGCAGTGCATACACATGAAATTGGCTGATTAAAAAGGAGCTTTCTTTCTCTTGTTTTGTTCATGTTTTGTAGTTGCATGAGATTATGAACCTGTGTTTCGAGGATACCGAGAAGAGGCCTAAAGCAAGTTACATCCGCGATTTATTGGAAGAAACTTGGTGCGCTGAGGGAGTTTGGGATACATACCTATGAGGAAACTAAAAAAAACATTCGAAATTGGTTGCTTCATCACATTTGGTACCGCGTTTGAAGTAGTTGCATGAGTGAAATCGACGATTTTTCAGAGTATTTGGTCAGCTTTTTTACATTACCCTCATTGAAACAAAAAACGTCCATCGACTATTTGCCGAACATGGAAAATTTGCTGTATAGGTGCTCTCTATCATGGATAGGTCGTCGTAGAAGCAGAAAACCACTGCCTTACGAAATGACTACGCAACTATCACATTTGGTAGATTTTAGAAATGTTTGTCGATTCCTTATTTATCAATGATAATGATAATAATAATAATAATAATAGTAATAATGATATTTAAACAGGAAGCTCTCTCTCACCCGTAGGTGATCTACAGAGACGTCCTGATCCAAAATAACATTAAATTGTTAAAAGTAAGTACACAAATTGCAGATATTAAAAGAGTACAAAAGTATGCTATAGATTAGAAGATTTGAAAAATTATTTCTAAACTGACATATAGTGCCAGGGTTCTTCAAGTCACTGTCCAAGGCATTCCAGTCTTTGAAGGCATGATAAGAGGTTCTTTGTTTACCCCTGTTCCGTTTTATTGATGGAAGTCCCAGATGATCTTTGCAACTAGTGTTGTATCTACGTACTTCGCTGTTTCTAGATAATGTACTTCCATTCGCGCATTTATAAACATATAAACAGCGATGGAAGTGCCTGCTGTTTTTTAAATTCAACCAGCCGAACTGATTGAGAGCATGGGTTGCAGAAGAGTACAATGGTTTATCTAGAGTTTTCTGTAAGATAGATGAGGTAAAATGCGCGCTATTGACCATGTTGCGTGTAAACTATGACCATAGTGCGTGTAAACTTAAAGCTATTCTAGAAAAGCAGTAAACCAAACCTTTATAAGTTTACCTTCAGTTGATAATAACCCATTTTGAGTCGATTTTGGGAAAAGGCGAAAAACATTTTTTGATCAGTTGCCTTTTGCTTGTGATGTGAAAGGGTACTTTGCATGGGTTGTTCTGCTGGTAAACGAAATGAAAGTCAGTAGCACATTTTAATGTAACTTTTTGAAAAAGTTACTCGATGCATATGAATAAAGGGTGATAGTTTCGAAAGAAACTGTTTGGGGCTGCGTCTGTGGGAGTAACGAAATAATTTGGATATATCAACAAAGTTGAAGTGTTAAATTCGCCACCGTAACGATTGCAAAAGCTGACGTTTCGTCGCTCCGACGAAGGGCTAACGCTCGAAACGTCAGCTTTCGAAATCATTACGGTGGCCAATTTATCACTTCAACTTTGTTGATATATCCAAATTATTCCGATGCATATGAAGTTTGTAAGTATTAATTAATTCAGGGGATGAAACACCCAAGGCCTCCAAGGAGACGTGCCGGTCCTTTTTTTAATTTCGATCCAGCATCATAAGTATCGATAAATCAATCAACTAACGAAAATAGACTATGCGTAATTCAAGTCACAATGATGATGAAAATGATGAAACCGATGATGATCATGAGAAAGGATAGTGATAATAATAACAATAACAATAATTAACAACTATTTACTGATGTGGAGGTGGTTAGTGGTAAATATCCACCGCTAACCACCGACACTGAGGTGAATAGTTGTTTTAGTATATACTAAAACACTGAGATAATATACACCACCAAAAATTGATTTTAATTCATACAATCCAGCAACGATTCCAAAATATTTACGCGCTGAAGTGAACAAGTGAGGTTACGCAAGATTAATTTGCATTTGTAAACAAAACCTTTCTCAGATACAAAATATATGAACTTCATATATCCATTGTATCTGATTTATCATCACGGGTTTCTTACGAATCAACTTAACGGCCTGCTCCCAGTTGGCTTGCTAGCTCAATTGGTAGAGCGCTGCACTAGTATCGCAGAGGTCAGTGGTTCGAATCCCGTACAGGCCTGATTTTTTCAGGTCTGATTTTCGCTATTGCATAAATAGCGCTATCTACTGCGAAGGATCGTGCATCATACGTATTTAATACCGCAGTTCAAAATATATGAACTTCATATATTCATTGTATCTGATTTATCATCACGGGTTTATTACGAATCAACTTAACGGCCTGCTCCCAGTTGGCTTG